CCGCGGCGGCTGAGTGCCGCCGCGGTGACACAGCTATTCAGAGAATAAATTTCTGGGGTTTTCTGCCAGAGACTCCATTGTCTTGGCATTTTGTTTTGTTTTGCTGTGTTTTGTTTTGGTTTGGTTGGTTTGAGCTTGTCTTTTGCTTTTGCATTTGGAGACACAGTTGGGAAATACTTGTAAGGCAGGAAAAAAACCCCAAACTCCTGAGTTTTTCTACTTAGGAGAATCCTCCAAAGGATTTCTAATTTGCAAGGGGAGACAAAGGAGGAGGCTCTCTGCACTGAGGAGCTGGATTTTAAATCAGGTGCTTCGGGAGAGCCTGGGCAAATCGGTTTCTCCCTGTGTCTCCAAAATGGCCGCGCTGCCTCGGAGGGAAATTGGGAGGAAAAATCATAAATCTTTGTGGAGCAATAAATAGACTATAAATGGGTATCCAATATGCCACTGCTTTCAAGCTCAGTCACACTGTGCTGGTCAGCTTTGGGGTAGGAAGTAAAGACAACCGCTTAGCAAATCTGGCAGGAACACAACAAAAATACTGTGAAAGATGACAAAAACTGATGAGTTTTCTATTCAAATCCATCACAAATCTCAGGAGTAAGGCTTTCATATAAATATGCATTCGTTTAAGGGAAGGAGGGCAGTCTGCACTTTTTGGTGTTGCCATCAAAAAATGGCTTTGTTTTGCACGTGTATTAATAGATACACTTTATTTTGTTGAATAAAATAGTTGAAGTTTTGTTCTTTTAGTAAATACATGCTGAAAAATAATGTTGTTTCTATTTCCAAAATAAAATACCTTCATATCTTATAGGCTATTTAACAGTATTGTAATTATTAAATTTACTAAATTAATAATTTACTTTTCATGATTAATAATTCACTTTTCAATATTTTTACAACAAAAACAAATTCCAACTTTTGCCACCATATTTCATTTCAAAATGTCACCAGAACTAAATCATTAAAAAGGTCATTAATGTATTTATAACCGAGTATCATGTTATAAAACACCTACAAAGCAATTCATGTTTGTTAAAAGACAAAACTTGGTATTTACCTGGAAGCCGTGGAAATAGTACACATTGTTTTACTACCAGTCTAGATGCATATTCCTCCAATATGCAGTACGAAAAGCTTTCTTGTAGTTTCACAATCCAGTTACACTGACCATTTATTAGCAGGTAGCGTTTGTCATCCGTTCTCCCACAGCAGTAAATGAGACATTAGCCTTTTTCCGCGTGCTCAGAACAGAAGACACGCGTTGTACATGACACGTGTGCTAAGTGTTGGCAGGGATGGCTTTCTAAAGGCAATATTTAGTAAATACATATACAAAGAAACTCTTGCCTGGTCATCTGGAAAGAAAATATGTACTTCTGACTCATGGGTGTATTGCCACTTTTGACAGGGCTGAATAGTTGTGGATAAACAGGGCGTGTTAATACAGGAATAATGCATAAGGTTTTGCGTGCTGATTTTGTTACTCCAAATGTTGTAGTTTTGTATAATCATTTGTTATCTCGGATAAGGTGAAAATTACTGTATATGCCCTGTGAACGCACGTGCATGTGCATGTATTTGGACACATACGTGTGTGATACTGTATATACATACCCAAGCGCATACGTACAGATATATATAGATCTATATCGGGTTTGTTTCCCCTCCTCTTAGCTATGAAGGCTGTGCCGTAGGGTCAGACTGATAGGGATCTGCATCGGCCGCGTTCGGCCGTGCACAGAGTGCCAGTGCAGATTCCAGCCCCGTGCAGCCGCTGCGTTCCTGGCGTGCTTTATTCCTTGGGAGTGTGCTGCCGGTCTTTTGACCTATATGCAGGAGAACTGAAAATAATTAGAAACCTGAGGTTTACACAACCTCCTTGTCTTCCTGGGTCTCCCCAGGCACAATCATTCCACACATCACTCCTGTAACTACATGGAGTAAACAGAGGTATACTCCTTCCACAGACAGACGTAAACGAAGCGGAGGACACGTAAATGAATCTGAAATAGAAAGATACGGCCAAAATAATGAC